GAGCTACATATTTGTTTGAAGCTCAGGAGGAAGATTTTGGCCCAAGATGGCTGTTTTGGGAGTTAGCAGCATTCATAGGTAGTGACTGAAAGCTGGAACCAAGGAAGCAGTGGGACCCTGGGGGACTCTGGGGAACCCACATCCTGGGGCTGGTCAGGACATGAGCAGCCTCTCTGGATACAGAGAGAAGGTGCCTCATGTTATGTCAGAGAACCTGAGCCTTGCACACAGTTCTGTCCCCAGGGAGGACAGGTGGGAGGGTCTCAAACTGTCCATGTGACTGGGCTGTCTGTGTGGACTACTGCCTATGCCAGGGGTCCTCAAACTTTTTAAACAGGGGGCCAGTTCACTGTCCCTCAGACCGTTGGAGGGCCGGACTATAGTTTAAAAACAAACTATGAACAAATTCCTATGCACACTGCACATATCTTATTTTGAAGTAAAAAAACAAAACGGGAACAAATACAATATTTGTATTTGCATGTGGCCCGCGGGCCGTAGTTTGAGGACCCCTGGCCTAAGCCCTCACATCAGCAGGTGTCCCACCCACTGTTTTCTTGTTGCTGGTGCCACTGTTACTGTTGTTATTTTTAATTATGATTAAAAAAACATACAACATAACATTTGCCATCTTAATCATTTTTAAGTATACAATATTATAATGTAAAGTACCTTTACGTTGTGCAACCCATTTCCAGAACTTTTTAACCTTCCCAACTGAAACTCTGTCCCCCTTCTTCAGCCCCAGCACCTACCATCCTTTCTGTCTCTATGGATCTGACTTCTTTAGGGACCTCTTATAAATAGAATCATACACTTCTCATGATTGGCTTCTTTCACTCAGCATAATGGCCTTCACGCCCGTCCATCCTCAAGGTTGTAGCCTGTGGCTGCATGTTGTTATCACTGTTATTTTGATGAGCTTTCTTCCATGCCCTACTGGTAAACTTGGTGCTCATTTGAGGCCCCAACGTGGGCGCCCTGTGTGTCCTTGGTCCTCTAGGGCACTGTCCT